GATGATGATGATGATGACGACAACGATGACGATGACGATGATGATGTCAGCCGATCCCCATCATGATCTCCATCCTGCTATCGCTGTCATGATCATCGCTACCATCGGCTGCAGCATCGGTGGTAAGGAATAAGAGTTTACCGACGTGAAAAGACGCTCATCTCCCAACCGTGAGGTGAGAAAGATGTTTGCCATCGAGGACAGCAAGCCCAACCATCGCTTGTATACGGAGGAAATGCAAGTTCCCTGCCTCAGCTGGAGCCGGGTGAGTTTCAAGCTTTGGAGTTCGTGGCTGCTGTTAAAGCAAATTGGCAATAGCCGTCGCCATCCTCGTCCTCGTCTGGATTGTCGCCTCATCGTAATGGAAGTAGCATTCGGGATAGGAGTACGGTTAGCAGTGGAGCAAACTGATAGACATGAGGGTATTACGACGGAAATCACAGCAACAACAATAGCAAGGTTTCCCGTTAAATGTGCTTGAGCTTGATTCAGAGCGTCGAGGTCACTTTGGCTGCTCCGAGGCTATCAAGGCTTCTTCTATGTGCCCAGTGGTTCAAAGCTTTCGGTTCCGGTATCGCAAGGTCGAAAATAAATAAAATTTCGCAGGGGATTCCCGGAAACGACAGGCCATCGGAGCAGTTGTGGCGAGGCTGTCGAACGGAGCAACAGACGGGGCGGCACGAAGCCGAAGAAACTGCGTCATCAGGACTTCGAGTCTCCTTGCAGGTGTGCAAGTTTGGGTTGGGGATTCAGGATTTTGAGTTTAGAGTGAGTACTAGTGAGGTCGGCAGGTTCCCAGCACCCATCATCACCCATCCACACATACCTTGCGCCGACAGGGTGCCACAAAAGTCCATTATGCAGGCTGCAGGCCCCCTGAACACTAGAACACTCGTCGAACTACAGCTCCACATAGCCGTCAGTATGCCCACATGGAGCCCGGGTCCCTCACTCAGGTGATTTCCCAAGTCGCTATCGGCGACTGGGCTTCATTCACGTGAAGCTGAGAGAAGACGGGGTCACGGATTCAAAGACGTTTATGGCTTGTGGTGTAGAGGTGCGGAAACCGGGAAGTCTAGCCTAGACTGTAGGACACTGTAGGTCCGGACCGGCACCCTAAAGCCCCAAAACTCAAGGCTTAATTTTGGGGCTCAGCTTTGTCAAGATTACGGTTCCCATATTTGTTGGCCGCATCCTTCAAGCTTGAAGGGCCGGGCTGGGCCAAACAAAAGCCGAAAGCTCCAAACCCGAGTCTGCCCAGGAAACTATCTCCTGCGCCAGCAGCAGGGTATGGAGGCAAGGCCCTGTCAATTCAGCAATAATGTTTTAGGCTTTGGGCCGGGGTTCGGGGCCTGGGGATGCTTCAAAGTTGTGATGTAGCGAGAGCTGTCCCCTATCCAGGTATCCTTGGCCGAAAGTCCGTTTCACGCTAAGGCTGTTTCGAACTGAAGTCACCTGAGCGGTGCAATGTGCGACTCGAAGCCGTGACTCCTGAAGCCTGTACCGCAAATCTTTAGCATATCTACCTGGAACACAGGTCTCACATCGAACCGACTATACACCAAGAACCTCGCCTGGCGTGTCCGAGTGTGAGCGCCGAAATCCTCGAAGTGCAGAACTTGCCACCCTGTCCAATACCGGCGCAGCCTTGCAGGTGGTGCAGAAGGCCAAGGAAGATGAAGCGATTCGGAAGAGGTGGCACGGTCTGAATGATGCTGAGGGCCGCTCCATCCTAACATGAATCCCAGCACTGCTTTGTGCACGTTTCCGAGCCCGGATCGGTGGACCCATGCTCCCACCCCATACCCCTTCCTTGAAAGCTGACCAGGATGACGATCCTGATGTTGGTGAGAATGGTGGTGCGGGCGACAGGGTTGATGTGGGTGGCGCCAGTTGGTGACAATGACTCTCGCAGATGGAGATGACGACGACCAAGGTGACGGCAATGATCACGACAGCAGACAAGACTAGACTAGAATAAGTGGTGATGCTTGTGATGTGATGCGACCCGGCTTCGGGCATGAATGCCATGAAGGAGAGAAGCAGTGGAAGCCGAAGACACAAGATCGAAGCAGAAGCTTCAAAGCAGCCTGACAATCGTGGCAGGCGCGTGACCGAAGGATCCAAGGAACAGCTTCCGGGCACGAAGCTGCGAGCTTGGGATCGTCTCTTGCTGGTTGGCCACCCTCAAAACTTGTCGCCGACGAGCATAGCCTCTACATGCGTTAATTTTGGGAGTCTTCGTACAGAATGCTGGTACCTCCAGCTGCGAGTGCAGACCTTACGCTTCCCTGTCTATCCCCAGCCCTGACATCATTGCCACGTATGTGAGGCAACCACTGGCCGTCAGCCAGGCATGGCAGGATCACCTCGGCGACTCGGATGCTCTGGGAATCGATGTTTCACGCACTTGAATTCCCCGTTCTGAAGCGTGAAGGCACAAAATCTGAGACAGACCTTGTTTCCGGGCTGCTGCGACGACAAAGAATCTGAAGGTGTTGCGAGAATTACAGAAAATGGTAATATTTACTGAGGCAAGGGCAAAGAAGCCCAGGATGATCCGCCAAAGCCTCGTCAGAGGAGGACCCTCCTACCCGGCAGCCTGTCAGCGCGGATCTCAGACTTTGGAGGTTTCAGAAAGCAGGGGCACTCTCGCTTTTTGAGCGGTCCTCAGAAGTATGAACTTTACATGTAGGCTTCTGTGTTAGGGCTCTAGATCTTGGGACTTGCAATGGGGACGAATTAGTCAAAGCGTAAAACCGAAAGGAAGCAGCACAATAGCTCGAGCTCTGAACGAAAGGTCCAACCCTAAAACTCCAACGACTTGGTCGATCCAAGCAATGCATGCGAGGCCTGCTGCAATCTGCAACCTGACCGTGCTGGCTCCTGCATGAGACGTTGCCTAAGTCCGCACCTTTAAAAAATCAAAACAACAAAAGCCCGAAGCCCCTGAAAACCGGAGGGCCATGGCCATCCTGAGCTTTGTTTCTTGCCTCAAAATCCACCCCAAAACCGCGAAATCGGTCCAACCTTTTCAACAGACTGAAACGATACAGTCAGGCAAATCCCTAAGCACCGTAGTGTGCCTGGCTTGTCCGAGTTGTGGGAGTGTAAACCCTTTTTGAGTGTGGACCCAGTCGACTTGAAGCCTTGCCTGCCTTGTGCGCGTTGCAAGAGTCGAAACCCCAACCTTTTACTCGTAGCAAACGGAAGAGACTAGGGCGCATCCTCGTCTTCCAGCTCGCAGCAGCCATTGCAGAAAGGTGGCTCGTCCAAACTTTGACGGGGAGGCAATAAAAAAGGGCCGTAGCAATTGGAACAGGAGTTTGTGGTGAGTATACATGTATCGGGAGGATATTTAGCTCGGGGTTCCTTGATATGCCTGAAGCACAATGACCCCCCCAACCTCAAGAATCTCATTAGTAAGCTTCAACCGCCATTTGTCGGGGCGCTTAGGAGGGCTGTAGGATTACGCCGATTAGGCATTCTATGGACTGCACCGGGCGCTTTAAGATGATGCATTCCATCTTGTCGCTGACATTGCAAAGACGGCGGAGCGCTGTTGCAGGATAGAGACGCTTTGGAGCCGATGGTTTGGTACTCTTGTCTTGTGTAGTATTAGAGCGACACTGTCTCAGAACCCAGAGCCGAAGAACAACTTGAGAAGTTTGTCTTCAAAGTTGCGGATAGTTGGAAAGCACCGGGGATGAAGCGGAACTTTTTGCCTTTCAACTTTGGTCTTCAGTTTTGGCGTTGCACGTACTCGATGGTTTAAGGAAGTTTTGGGTTTGGGTTTGGGCAGGGTGTATCCAGGCACTAGTTTCACTCTGCAAAGTCTTGGTGATCCTCTCTTGTGGCCAGTGTTTAAATGGCTCGTCAGGTTTGTATTGCGCATTCCATCCCGACTTGTTTGTTCAATCCTCGACCCCATGCCTACGTCGAAACCCCAAGCAAGAAACCTTCACATCTTTGCCCCTGAACCCTCTTCTCAACTGCACGGTCAGCTTGGTTAGAGGTACAGGACGTGCGGGGAGGCTTTTCTTGCCTTGTGCTTCAAAAACTCTTGGGTTTAGGGCTTGGTTAGGAGGTTGAGACTGAGACCTTCCGGCTGTCTACGAGGCAGGGTTCAGTGCGGACATGTGGAGTCCCATATCCAGGCATACACTTAGCCCCTGGTTCAACACAGAAGCCCCTACACCAACACCCAGAAAGTGGCTACTGTAGTCCTAGACTCCCCCGACATTGAAAATTCTGTCCCCGAGCCCGGTATCCGGTGACCCCAAACCAATTCGGAAACTTCCAAAGCGTTAGCCTCTCAAAACAAAGCAAGAAAGCAAAGTATTCCAACCTAAACCCGAAACCGCTCCAGACCCGAAAGGGTCGTTCCGCAATGCTGACCGAGGTGCGCAGCAAGGTCTTCCGTCAAGCGGCCGGCCACTCCTCAAAGAGAAGCTCGTCCTTGAAGTGTTGTAACAAAGGGTATCTAATCGGGTTATCGTTTGGCATAGAGGTGCTCGTCTGCTGGATTGGAGGGTCTTACCCTTGTCCTGAGGCCCTCAAGAGCAGGAAGCATACTCGGTATTTTCGGCCTCAAACTCGAAACCCTGAAGCACCAGCTAACAAAGTGCGGCTGAGGAAGCTTCCAGCACCACGAGGGGCCAGCGCGAAGGTGCGCCGTGACAGCTGCAACGAGAGGAACACGGAATGACGACAACAACTTCAATCGAAGTTTTGCTATGCTAACTATGTTAAGACTCTGCACATGACAATAGCGATTGCATTTAAGACAGCTTGACCGTTCATAGCGGTACAAACAAGCCGAGCACAACTTAACGAATTAACGATGACGGGAGGACGATCCGAAACACCAGTGATGACTATAGTGCTGCGCAGATTAATAGGGTGTGTGTGTGAGTTCTGAGGATGGAGTACCCTTTGGCGGCGAACAACGTAGCCTAGGACCAAGGTTTGGGTACTTAGAGGTCTCCGGCTTTGGGAGGATCCGGACTCTCGGGTTGGCGGGCTCGGTTGAAGCGCTAGGCAAGAAGAGTTTGTGACAACAAGCAGTCACCGCTGCAACAGACTATGGTCGTGAGGCATATAGGGTCCTTAGCATCCGTTCGAGTGGAGGCTGATCCAGGTAGTCCCCAAATGCAGTGCATCGGGCAGGCTCTGGCAGAGAGGAATTAGTTCACGAGCCCTACAGCACATCAAAGCCTATTCCCAACAACAGGAGCAGTATTTCACTTGCAGGCCATGGACCCCAAGTATGCGGATGCCTTCGACTTCGAGCCGACCTTTCGCATGCCTGAGATGCCACTTTCTAGACGGGCGTACCGACCAAGCACTTTCGACCAAACTGGCGAAGCTGATAGGTAGTTGCAGAAAAGGTGTGCGTGCATGAGTCGGCATCATCGCAAGTCAGCGTGCCCGAATCCGCGCGTTCAAAATCATAAGCTTACCTGGGTTGTCCTATGTTTTGACTCTGCATTGGGCCAAGCCGTCTTTAGGAGTCATCCTGAGCCCGTGACACCCAAGCCAGGCCCAACAAGACATCCCCCAAAAAAAAATCAAAGCTCGAGCCCCACAAACCTGCAGGCCTTCAGGCCTCCGATGCCTCAAATCCTGAGCCTCGCTGCAGGCCTTGCTGCAGCGCGCGCTGAGAGAGTTCCAGGGCTGAGACTTCGTGAAGTTGGTTCAGGGTACTCAGAGAGCTTCGGGCTCATATCCAGAGGCTGCGCATCACGAAGGTTGCTTGCAGGATTGTGAATACGGCTGTATAGTATTATAAGGTTTGTCGAACTTGGAGCTCCGATGGATAAGAGGTATTATTAAAAGGTAGGGATGGGCCCACGGCACACGGACATGGTGTGAAAGCAGAAACCCCCACACTCCACCCCTCAGAGCAGTAGCTACGAACTTCTACGTGAACTAATCGTTTAGCTCGTTTAGCTTAGCGACGGCGACTCGGAGAGCTCCGAAACCGGAAACTTTCGAAGCCGAAAGCTGGAAAATGGCGCGGACCGCCGACCTCCGCGACTTTTGACTCGGGCGTAGGTGGGCTCCAGCTTGCACATGATGCAAGGTACGAGGCTGCGGTTGGGGATTGATGTTCTGGTGCTGAGGAGCTGGGGAAAAGGCTGCGTAAGCGCAGGGTTCAGGCTCTCTTCGCCCCCAAGCCTCGCAGCTCGCCTCAGAGCGAAAGCTGGTCGGGGCATTGTTCCAAATCTGAGTTTGCGTGAGGGGGCTTTGCAATGCCTGGAATGTTGCAACGTGCATAACAGCTTACAGCTTCTTGAGTCGTGGTCAAGTGCCCGCATGCAGAAGCTCACGCATGAGAACGCTGCAATACCTTAGGAGCACGCCCAACAAACCCTAAACCGCAAGGAGAGGGCTCAAGCTTCTGGCAAAAAGAGTCGCCTGCCTTGCGGAATGTCCATTTTATGAGCGATGAGCCCATGCCTCTGCTGCTGCTTCCAGGTTAGTCGGAAAGGACTGAGGGTGACCAGTAGGATCATGCTAGCCGTGTGAAGTCGCAGAACGCCCGATGCAAAAGCATCACCAATGCCTCAACAGACATGGTTTTAAGACCCAAAAGATGGTGCCTCGGGTGCACGACAAAATATCCATTCTAAGCTGGAGCTGGTCGTTTAAGGCTTCGATGGCCCTCAACCTGAAGGGTTGCCATGGCTGTCGCCAATCCTACTGTGATGGAAGCTATAAACCCTAATGCCTGCTTCGCTACGGCGTCGTGTGGGCATCCAGTGCCGGAGTCCCCCAGAATGCAAAGCAGCGTCTGCATACTAGATCCGCGAAACAGCGGGGTATTGGTGAACGTGAGCCGTCCCACAGTTCCAGCATGAGCGCGGGATAGATTGCAATTTCCGCCGCAGCTTGAACCCTCTTGCGACCTGAACTCGAACGCAACGGTTCTTTTCGTATCGGATCCTGTAGAACTGGGCCGGAGAATCCAGCTCGGGAAACAAAGCCTCCAAGCCTCGAGTTGCCAAGAACAGGCACGGATGCCGGTGGCTCGAGCCCGTTTTGCAAGTCCGAGCTCTTAGTGTTCTTAACTTTTTCTAGAGATCATGACGGCTCTCCTCATGGTTTTGGCCGGTTTGGGACTCGTGGTGGCGGACGGTGGTCAACTCTACCCTGCGTGGCAATGAGCCCCGCCACTTGGCCTCTTGCGGCCTGGACGGAAAAGTCGACTGCGGTGTTTGCAGGTGCACCGATCGGATGGCCTGCCAGTGGTGCGACGGCAACGGGGGACCCGCGAGCATCGGCAGCAGCGGCTCCAGCAACAGCCCGGCACCGGCCAGCACCCACGCCTCCGGCTCCTGTCCATCAAACCTGGTGAGCTGCGGTGTCTGCACTTGCACAACCCGGAGTGCTTGCCAGTACTGCGATGGCT